GGAGTGGTGCTGAAACTTTTTCAAAGACAAAAACCACCTCCTCTCAAAGTTGCCCCTTTTAGATAGAATTATATGAAGATAATGTTTATACCTTAATTTATAAAGCATGTTACAGATTTAAAGTACTCATTAATTCACACTAGTTTACTTAGTGCACTGGTCTGTTGGTTTTGTGACTTGTTGAATGTATACAAGGAGCTCTGGTAGCATAGTGGCTAAGGCACTTGACTGCTAATCAGAAGGCTGGCTGTTTAAACCCACCAGCCACTTCTCAGAAGGAAGGTTGGGCAATCTACTTCCGTAGTGATACTGTCTCGGAAACCCAAGGAGGGGTCACTATGAGTCAGGTCCAACTCGAGGATACATAACAACAACAACAACAGCCCTGTTAACTGCACTTCAAATTTAATGGTAAGGATAGCTTGATATTAAAAGAAATTACCTTTTCCTAAAGAATTAATTAAAGAAAACACCACTTTGTCCCAGGACCAGTTGGTTGGTTGAACACCTAATTGGCTTGATTCCCATGACCACCTAATAATGGACCAGGTGCTATTTATTCACTATTCAAAATTACACTGAGACTCTTTTAATGTTCCAAACATCCTTTGACCACAAACAAAGATAATTTAGGAAAAGAAAAAAATAACAAAATCAGTAAGATTTTCTCTTGGGCAATTGGGAATTCTGACACATACCCATATACAAGTGATAACAGTTCTCCTCAATTCATGATTCAGACAAGAAAAGCCAAGATTATAGAAAAATGCTCACTACTTTCCAAAATGTGTCTTTTCTCCTGGTTGATTCAGCTAAATGTTAATGTCTGATCTCTCCTGTCAAGGTGAGACATTAAAGGAAATGTCATTTCATTAAAGAAAGCATCATTTTCCACTCAGGGATGTAGGAGAAACTCCTTGGTCAAAGGTTTGCTGAGAAAGAAGGTTAAAAGAGGCCAATGTAAGGTTTAGAGATAATCTGTGTACAATTTCTCTGTGTTCGTCATCCTCTCCATTTGCATGTTTCACCATGGTATCTTCCATCTTGCTCTGGGGGATAAAAAAAAAAAAAACTCCATAGCAGTTTATCAGCATCAAATCAGATAAATCCAATGAAACAGCAGAACATCAGGCCACATTGATAATGCGCTTCAGCCGCAGTGCGTTTTTATTTCACAATTGAAAATCCTTAATCTGTGACTCTGAAAAGGTGTCAACAGATCTACTATGAAGACATGTCAGACACTCCAATGCAGCAGGGTCTATAAAAGCTGAAGAGCATGTCTAAACCTTGTATACAATTTAATCAAACCTATACGATTGTGAGAAATGGCACAAGATTTACAGTGGTTGTACAAAGTAGCTTTTACTGTTGGGTATTGTTTAAACGTTTTCAACATCGAAATTTCCAAAGTTAGATTATTTGATGGAAGACCAATCAGTGAGTATGTGTGTTTGGGTATGAACAGATTTTCACTAACTAGTAGTTTAGTGGCTTCCAAGCACAGGTAACAGCCAAACTAAGTCATAGCAATATTACGTCCTATAGATCCTAAGGTAAGAGAGATCTGCTTTAATAAAAAGATAAGAATCATTTATAATCATGAAATTAATTTATCATTTATGAATGGTGCTTTTATAATTTGCATGGATGAATGTATATAACTTTTCATTTATTAAAACATTCTTTTCACTATTATTTTTTTCCTGAGAAAAGTACCAAGATGTCCCTGGTAGCCAAAGCCTCCTTTGGGTCTCAGGGCAACACACTGAGAAAACCAAAAACCAAAACCAAACTCACGGATCCAACTTATAGCAACCCCTCCTTGGGTTTCCAAGGTGGTATCACTATGGAAGTAGACTGCCCAATCTTCCTTCCAAGGAGCAGTTGGTGGGTTTGAACTGCCAGTCTTCCAGTTAGCAGCCAAGTGAGACAGCTAGGCAAATCAGTTGTTTTTCATTACCATCTAGCTGGCTTGAGTCATAGCAATCCCATGTACAACAGAACAAAACTTTGCTCAGTCCTGCACTACCTTCACGATTGTTGGTGTGCTCAGTTCTGTGGTTGCAGCCACTGTGTATTTGAGTGCCTTCCAGCCTAGGTGGCTCATCTTCCAGCACTGGATCAGGCAGTATTCTGTTGTGGTCCATTGGGTTTTCATTGGCTAGTTTCCAGAAGTACATCACCAGGCCTTTCTTTCTAGTCTTTCCTAGTCTGGAAGCTCATTGGAACCTGCCCACCATGGATGCCCTGCTGGTGGTATTTGATGTGCCAATGGTATAGCTTCTAGCATTACAGCAACACACATACCACCACAGTATGACAAACTGACAGATGAGTGATGGCAGGCAAATCTAGCTCAACAAATTTAAGGAAACTTTATTCATCCCGTGATGCCTTCTGGTGACATGGAAGAGGCAATGCCACACCTCAAAGCTTTGGCTCAAAAAAAAGTAAAACTGTACACATTGTAATATCTTTTAAAATCTTCTCTTAGTCTAATGGCCTACCTATTACCATAACAACCTACATTCTAGAATAAGTGGCAGTGGCGTTATAGAGAATAAGCCTACAAATGTAGCATTCACCACTAATTTGAAAAGGTTTGTTCTGAGCAGTCTCATATCATGATCATATCTTTTGTGTGTGACTATTGTAATTAATCTAGCAACACACTGACCCGTCTATCTGGAAAATTCACCAGATGGGTTTAGATTTTTCACATATCATCACAGCAAGGATATTACGTAGATCTCTGAGTTCCTCCCAATAGCTAGCTCAATAGATAAAACAAGATTCCCTGTTCCATGAATTGTAGGATGTATCAGAAAAGGAAAAGAATTTCAGCTCTAATTGTTGAACTACACTCCACTCACAAGAATTTGAAGATGAAAGTGAATATAGGATGTAAACCCTTTCTGACTCATAGCAACCCTCTAGGACAGAGGAGAGCTGCCCCCAGAGGGTTTCCAAGGCCGTAAACTTTATGGAAACAGACTGCCACACTTTCTCCCATGGAGAGGCTGGTGGGTTCAAACTGCCAACCTTTAGTTAACAACGAAGCGTTTAACCACTGCACCACCAGGGCGCCTTCCTTATAAAATGCTACTGAGTTATAAATAAACCATCATATAAATAAACCATCACAAAGGCACTGTTGTTGTTATCAGGTGCCAAGTTGATTATGACTCAATAGCAACCCTGAAGGACAGAATAGAACTGCCCCCCTAGGGTTTCCTAGGCTGTAATCTTTATAGAAGCAAATCACCAGATCTTTTCTCCTACTGAGCATCTAGTGGATTCAAACCACTGCAGTTAGCAGTTGAGTCACAGGGCTTCTTACATAGGAGAAAAATACACAAGCAGAACATTGCCTCTTAAGTTGGATTCCCAGTAAATCCACCTCAATCCCATTTAAGTAGTCCTCCTTCAAACCTCCACAATGTTTTTTAAACCCCTGCTGTTCCAGGAATGCAAAGATGACTTATAAAAGATCTGGGCTGAAATTTATCATAAATTGTAAAATAGCTGTATTGAAATAAAAATGTTTTAACATACTTTTGACAAACAGAAGGCAACAACATTGAAGATGCAAGTGTTATTTTAGAGGGGACTTCTATAAGAAATAAAATTTATTTATCCATGGAACTCCATCAAAGTGCCAGAATATTGTTTAAGCCAAAAATAAAACCCCACTGCAAAACAGAAAGAAGTGAAAACTCTTCAAATATCCCATTATCTTTATACTGAAGTTGGCTCTCGCAAGAAAACTCAACTGCCTACTCTGAACTTGGGGAGCCAGTC